CTGTACCAGAGAATTTCTCACCCTCTGAGGCTGCATGTGAAACGGAGCAACTCACACTCTGCAGCCGTGCCTTGTTCACACACAGCTTCAGCTAACGATGGCAGGGGAAAACAGACCATTTCGAAAGCGTAATTACATTGTAGCTAGGGTTGCTACCCATCCCTTAAAATACGGAACTGTCCCGTATTTAAAGGTAAAATAATGCGTCCCGTATCAAATCAATACGGGACACGATTTGTCCCATATTTTACAAAGGCCAACACAAGTATTTTGCACTGTTTATAATACTAATAGCAATTATAATGAAATCAATTTCATAAGAGGTATTAGAGAAGCTCATTTGCGCGTGATTTTGACGTATTTGTTTTCTGTAGTGACGGAGTCTCCAGAACGAGTGCCATTAAAGCCCTTTCACACGAGCGCAGCATGCGGTAAACAAATCTGCGAGGTTTAAAACATAGGAGCTCACATCTGCCCTTTGAACACAAGACTCTCCAGATGTAGGGCTGAATGGGAAAGTTATCAATGTGTCTGTCCAGTAACTAATGATGAACGCGCAGTTTGCAGAGAAGCATTTCAGTTGTTCACGTTGGACTGTCTGACTTAAAGGGACAGTTCACCCAAAAATGAAAATGTTGTCATCGTTATACACTCCCACTAGTTGTTCCAAACCTGTAATAATTCATTTCTTCTGTTGAACATTAAAGAAGATACTTTAAATAATGTGGTTAACCACACAGTTTCTGGTACCCAATGACTCTGTTAGTATTTATTTATTTTTTTTACCTTACTCTGGTACCCAATGACTCTGATAGTATTTTTTTTTTTTTTTTACCTTACTACCAGCAGCTGTTTAGTTGAGACACATTCTTCAAAGATACCATTTCAGTATCTTCTTTTGTGTTCAACAGAAGAAAGAGCTTTATGCAGGTTTAGAACAACCTGGGTAAATTATGACTAATTTCATTTTTGTGTGAACCATACCTTTGAAGTGACAGACACATCCGTGCTTCTAAAGCAGTGATGAGCAAACTTGGCCCTTCCAGGCTACTTTCCTGCAGAGATTTGCTCCAACCCTGATATGACTCACCTGCCTGTAGCCTTCTAGTAGTCTTGCAGACAATGATTAGCTGGTTCAGGTGTGTTTGATTAGGGTTAGCGCTAACCTCTGAAGGAAAGTGGCCTGGAAAGGCCAAGTTTGCCCACCCCTGTTCTAAAGGTATAGGCCTATTGTTTTATTAAAATTTGGATAGTCTGTTAATATAATATTCCATACATTATCAGAGCTTGGTAGACATAATTATTATATTTTTAGACATGATTAGACAGATCAATTAATATATTATAATTAATGTTAGGCCCTATTTATTAATTTATCATTGATGATTTTATTACTTTATTATCATTATGATTTTATGATTTTATTATGATTAATCATAAATATATACATCATAAATAATCATATATGTCATAAACAATTTGGCATTTTAAAAAGTAAAAAAAAAAGAGCTAAATTGTTTAGATAAAAATGGGACAAATAATTACATAATAATGTAGTTCTAATTCAAGCAAATTTATATAAAAAAAAATAATAATAATAATAAAAATTCATCCCATCCGTAACAGCTGCAGAACTGTAGTCGTGAATGGGTGTCCCTTATTTTGCCTCGCTGAAGGTGGCAACCCTAATTGTAGCCTACTCTATGCCGACCATAAGTGTAGCAAGTCATTTGCATGTGAAAGTAGAAACACGTGCAATTCAGACAATACTTCTGGCTAAAACGTGCATGTTAACTTTCCTCATTAAATGTGTCTGTGGGTCCAACATCATCCATGACGTCATCGCTCTTAAGCAGTTATGAGCAGCTGGTTGTGTAATATGAGAGAACTCTTTCATTTTTGTTATGCTGCTGGGTGCAACTGTGTAGAACACTCTTGTTTATTTTATTTATTATATTGTTTTTATGTAAGTTTTTGTGCACTAAAATTTTATTGTTTTATCCAAATGTTACAACAGGCTACCTGTTTTGTGTATTTAATATTGAACATGTTGTTTTTTTAATTTAAATTATACAAGTGCGCTGATTGGAGAGGCTTGTGTTGTTCAATAAATGTTTAATTTAAGCAATTTTCTGTATCACTTCTTATTACTTAACATAGTGGTCGACCGATATGGGTTTTTTGACAGCTGATGCCGATGCCAATATCTTGGTGTGGTGTGTGTGAGAGAGAGAGAGAGAGAGAGAGAGAGAGAGAGAGAGAGAGAGAGAGAGAGCGCGCAACTGGAACAATTACAATTAATAACAATTATGATTTTATAATAACAATTAACAATAAACAAATAATAACAATTAAACAAAGTGTGCTTTTCTGTAGGCCAGGCATATGCGTAGTGTGCCAAGTTGATGCTTCCTCTGCAGACTGCTTTACTCTCGCGAGTCACGTGACGAGAATGTAATCGCAGCCTTGCGGTTAAAAAAATTGCGTTTTGTCATATCGCGATATTATCGCAATTGCGATTAATCGTTCAGCCCTAGTATGAATGATGCCTGGCTCCATCTTTCTCGAGGCCTCGACAGATGGCTTATCACTCGTATTGATCCAGTGAAATAAAGCACAAAGGTGCAGGGCTATAAAAAAAAAAGCGGCATTATTTTGCAGAGGACACCCCTCAAATCGGGAAAAGGCTTGTTGAATGTTAACAGACACAGATAAGAGAGATTGGGTTACTGTTCAAACAAGCAGCCCTCACTCCATCGTGTTTGCTGTGCAAACCGGTATTGTTTCAGGGTAGAATGGCCCTTGTTTTGACTAGAATGTTAACTTGTTTTATCAGGTACATATCTGGGACTTCTTGTGTGTCCCCAAGTACTTGAATGAATAATTAAAGCTAAGTCGATAGGAAAAACACCTGTTGAGGAATGAAAGATAACAGTGTCTTCATAGTGTTCCCTTTGTGAGGTAAGATAAAAATGTGAGCCATGTGGTAACACTTAAAGAAACTGGTTTTATATCAGTCTAAAATATTGTTTAACATGACTGCCTTAAGATGACTACATTAAGTTAAACCAACAAAAGCCATCAAAAAATGATTTTCACTTTCACAGTCTGAAATATGAGTAAAAATGATTTACCGCTTTGCATTTAAGTGTGGAGTATGGTACATTTAAATATGAAGGGCTAGGAATGATCCTTAAAAACTTGTCAGGTAGCAAATCGGGTAACAACAACAACAAAAAATGTAAAAATGTGTTGCTACATTTTGTAAAAAAAAAATGTGAATGGTGCTTGCCCATGCAAAACTCACCACCATGATTCTAGTGGGTGTCTTAGTGGGTGGTTGCTAGCGCTGCTATGCATTTGTATTGACTAGGTTTTAACATGTTGCTATGTGGTTTCTAGGGTGCTCTGTGTGGCTGCTTTCAACTCCAAATCAAAAGAGCCCATCCCCAAGTCTCTATGATATTTTGGTCCGTCGATGTGGCTCAAGCCACTCGGGTATGTTCAATATTTATTCATTTATTCATTCATTTTTCATTATGTTTTTGCCTGTTTTATTGTTTGTCAGGACAAAATCATAAGTCAGATTAGTTAAAAGTAAGAACAACGTTTAATACTTAGGTTTGGTGGTTTAAAAAAAAGCCCGACCTAAAGTATAACCAACAGAAACAGCAAACGGTAAAGCATGTATATAAATGGGTAATATATGGGGGGGGGGAAACAAACAATTTAACTAAATTATTTCAGTCTAAGCTGTCTTCTTTCAGCTCTGCTAAGACTCAAAAACTGCATGATCGAAAAACATTTGCTACATTTCTGAGAATGGCTGAATTTGAGACACCTTGTTATCAGCTAAATGCATTCAACTCATTCACAGACCAGTGTAAACATTCAAATCCAGAGCTCTGTAACATGTTTTCCCTTAAGTTTCCTTTTCCCTGGGCTGGAGGTGAAGAGGTCACATAAGCAGTGTTAATGGTTACCTAACATCTGACATGTGGGTATGTCCAAGGAATAAAATGCATTAGATTATCAGACCAAAAAGAAGAAGAGCTGTGTGAAATGAGAGGAGGTAAAAGAGGGAGGGAACTGCTATGGCGCTGGAAACCGATGTGTCTTTGTCATGAATGAGAGAGCATGGCATGAATGCGGCTCATTGCAAGCCCAACAATGACCATGAGCATGCACATTCAGATGAGGACCGGCAATCAGACCAACAAAGACATGGCCGCAAAGCCACAAAGTACAGACAAGAGAGCTGTATTCTGTGAGATGTATTTCAATTGCAAGTTGCAAATTAACAGGAAGAGCGGTATGTGGGAGGGAAAGAGTGATAGAAAAGGAGGACAGAAACAGAAAGAAGAGTGTGAGATATGAGATGCTGATGCCATTTGAAGAGGCTGGCTGTACATAATCTAACACTGCCAGAGATATGATAAAGCGCTGTAACAACACACTAACACGCCACGGAACAACTCGCATAAAAAAACCCCCTTAATTGTGATTTGTGGTACAAATTATCACAGAGAATGAAAGGATAAACTGAGTGATCTGTCAGTGAGGAAAGTCATTACAATACTAAGAGGCACTTAATTCAACAATATGTTGCTCATCTCAAACATTTCATAACAGAATACTGGAAGGGTTTGGATTTAACAGAAGTTAAATAATCCTCTAAAAGTGAACTGAGACTTTGATTCCCACGCAAAAATGGTTCTTGCCTTCTTCTAACAAACACCTCATAAGCAGAAAAACAGGATTGTGGTTCAGCCTGCAGCAAACACAGCCTGAAATCATGCAGCCCTTCAGAGCAGCAGATACATCAACATCAACCCAACATATTTAAATTATATATTAAACATTAGTTTGTCTTTATCAAATCATTGATTTTGATTTTGATTTGTTTTACCCTGCTTACCCTACCCTGCAGCATCTCAAACTTAAGGAATGTTTCAAGCAAAGACAGTTGATTCAAAAGATACAAAGAAAAGTTAACTGACCTGTGACAGAAACTTTCATGGTGGCCTCCAGAGGTCTGTTGTTATCCAGATCTTTGCTGAGTTTGAGCTCTCCAGTATTTGGGTTTAGAATCAGCAAACTCAGCTCATTTCCTTCAGTGAAACTATACTTGAGCTCATCTGACACATCTGGGTCATAGGCAGGTACCTTTCCTATAATCCCAGATGGAAAACTGTTGGATTTGTTGGTGACGTAGTTATTGAAGATAATCTCGAAATCCTGCAGGACAGGATCGTTGTCGTTGACATCAATCAGACGAATGCGGACGGTTGCTCTGCTGACCAAAGGTGCGGACGTGGCCTGTACGACTATGACATACTCCATTTTGGTCTCGTAGTCCAAATCCACGAGTGCTTTTAAGTCTCCAGTGAATATATCCAAATCAAAGACCTCCGGGATATTTCCTTCCACAATCTGGTACAATATTTGAGCGTTGGTTCCTTCATCTGGATCCATGGCGTTGATCCGGGCAACCACTGAATCAACAGGACTGTTTTCTTTGATGTAGATAAACAATTCATCCTTCTCAAAAACAGGAGCATTGTCATTGATGTCCAACACAGAAATCTGGATCTCCACCGCTACTTTGAGAGGAGGAACACCTCTATCTACTGCATAGGCCTTCAGGTTATACACTGGAACGTTCTCTCTGTCCAGCTTCCTTTGGGTTCTTATAATTCCAGAGTACTGCTCAATCATGAAGTCTCCTTCCCCGTCATCGCCACCTTGAAAGGTGTAGCTCAAACGCCCATTAGACCCCGAGTCCCTGTCTGAAGCAGATATCTGGAGCACACTGGTGAACACAGGTGCGTCTTCAAATACTGTACCCTGATATTTGTCCCTCCCAAACTGTGGCACATTATCATTGGCATCCAGAACAATGATTTCCACATAGGTGGTATCAGACTTCTGAGGGATTCCATTATCACTTAAAGAGGCAGCGCGCTGTGAGGGGCGCGCGCGCAATCCACCTCTCCATTTAAACGCACCACTCCATCTCTCCAGTCCACTTTAATAAACATCCCAATGTACTTGGAAGTAAAAGTCCTGTCTATTTTATACGTCCAACCTGGTCCCAGTGACAAATTGGCCAAAACAGCTCCAGAATGTAAAGTCTCCGTGAGGTGCAAGTCGAAACATCCCATGAGAGGAGCGCAGAGGAGAAGGTGAACCCATAATAACCAACACATTACTAGATCCATGGTGTAAAACTCCACAAAACGTGCAGAAAAACTCGTCAACTCTCCTTCTGCCGGCACGTCGACCTTCTTTTATCCTTCATTGTAGCTTTTTAACAGGAGAAAACACAGTTTATCAGGCTGGTATCCATGGAGCCAAGTGACATTACCCACGTTAAGTTTTAAATAAGGACAAAATGGCTCCGTGCGTACGCGTCTCTCCCACAGCACACACACACACACACACACAGTCATTAACATAACCTGCACTGCACCTCCTTTCAGGACTAAAGAACTCTCATGGAAATCCAACTATTGTTATTCACCTCTGCATTTATTCTTTGGTTCTTTTGGCCACTTTTACACCCTAACGTGAGCGACGCGGCGCGTCAAACCAGAAAGTCCCCATTATAAAAAACGAATTTACGAGATGAAACAGTTTCACGCAACTGTCCGAATGCAGATTTCTGGAGGTAAATGCTACCATTATAAATGAACGCCGTTTCGTTTACTATGTTATGCGCGTTGTCGTTTGTTTAGGCTATATCCATAACGTTTTCTGCTTTTTGTCTCCTAAAGTGACATGAATGCGCACCATGTGTTTAAATCGCTCAGTTTACAAGCGGCTGTAAAGTAATAAAGAGATATCAATACTGGGTTCTCTATCTGTTATTCGCTATGAGTAGAGTAAAACTAAATTGTGCATGAAAAAAATATGATTTATTCTCTATAGAAAAATGACCACGGTAGCCATACTTTTATAGCAAATGCCATAAGACAGTTATTAGTGGTAACATGGCATATAGACACTGAAAATTACAGAAATATTTGTAAAGTTTTTAAGCATTAAAATATAGTTTGGTTTGATTTATTTTGAGTTTAGATTTTTTTTTCTTATACTTGATTTTTTTATAGATTTTTTTAAATCGTGCATTTATAATTACATGTGTTATTAAAATTGCATATAAAAGTATGCGTTTCTTTTACCTTCAATTTTAGTGTCTCCTCAACAGATAAAAACGTACACTGACCCCCCCATGTTCCTCATAAAAGACATAAAAAAAGCAATGGATTTCTTGTAATCTTCTTTAAAAACTCATTTTCTTAAGTTTATTTACATAAATATATAACACTAATTATATTTACAAAGCATACACCTACACTCTAAAAAATAAAGGTTCTTTATTGGCATCGGCACCACCTTTAACCCCCACAGAATTTTTCCATTGTACAAAAGGTTCTTTAAAGTGGAAAAAAGGTTATTCTGATTATTAAAATATTTTTCACACAACAACAACAACAAAAAATGGTTCTTTTAAAGGCTGTTCGCTGAACGGTTCTTTTAGGAACCAAAAATGGTTCTTCTATGACACTGCTTTAAAAAAAAAACTTTTAGAACCTTTATTTTAAAGAGTGTCAAATTTCACTTATACAGTTTGTTGAATTGTGATGCCATGCATATTAGAAAACACAAACGAGGAATAAGGCCAAACCCAAAAACATATGGTATTATGTATAATAGGCTTACATTTCTTTATAAAAATCTTTATATTATCATCACAGTTCGATCATTTATTCTCTAAACCCCATTTTACAACAACAAAATGTCTAATGTCGTTTAAATGAGAAATATTTGTAAAGTTTTTAAGCATTAAAATATAGTTTGGTTTGATTTATTTTGAGTTTAGATTTTTTTTTTCTTATACTTGATTTTTTTATAGATTTTTTTTAATCGTGCATTTATAATTACATGTGTTATTAAAATTGCATATAAAAGTATGCGTTTCTTTTACCTTCAATTTTAGTGTCTCCTCAACAGATAAAAACGTACACTGACCCCCCCATGTTCCTCATAAAAGACATAAAAAAAAGCAATGGATTTCTTGTAAAAGAAAATCATGCTCTTCTTTAAAAACTAATTTTCTTAAATAAACTAAAGTTTATTTACAAAAATATATAACACTAATTATATTTACAAAGCATAAACCAACACTCTAAAAAATAAAGGTTCTTTATTGGCATTGGCACCACCTTTAACCCGCACAGAACTTTTCCATTGTACAAAAGGTTCTTTAAAGTGGAAAAAAGGTTATTCTGATTATTAAAATATTTTTCACACAACAACAACAACAAAAAATGGTTATTTTAAAGGCTGTTCGCTGAACGGTTCTTTTAGGAACCAAAAATGGTTCTTCTATGACACTGCTTTAAAAAAAAAAAACTTTTAGAACCTTTATTTTAAAGAGTGTAAAATTTCACTTATACAGTTTGTTGAATTGTGATGCCATGCATATTAGAAAACACAAAAGAGGAATAAGGCCAAACCCAAAAACATATGGTATTATGTATAATAGGCTTACATTTCTTTATAAAAATCTTTATATTATCATCACAGTTCGATCATTTATTCTCTAAACCCCATTTTAAAACAACAAAATGTCTAATGTAGTTTAAATAGAAAACGGTAAAACTCAACTGTTTAACTCTAGGGGAGTTGGAAAATTAGCCTATTTTCAAAAAACCGTGGAGTGTTCCTTTAATAAAACACAAGAGATCAGAGGTGTGCTTGGTTTGTGCTGCATGTGTCTCAGCTGACAGGCTCTGGATGTTGTTGTTGGTTTGTGTCTTTAGGTGGGCAGCTCATGCAGTTTTGACCTTTCTGAAGAGTGAATATTGTGGGTCCCAGACGAATGATCTTCCCACTGCCCAAACATTAATCTCCCTTGTATAGGACAGCAAACTGTAAAGCAAATACAATGGAGTCAGGTTTGAATTTAAAAAATACCATTTCCAAAATGCAGCTTAACATCGTGATGTCTGTCAGCCATCGGCGATGGACGATGGCATCGTCTATCGGCCAAACCCTAACTGTAATACAGTTGATTAGGCTGTTTACAGTTGCCAATCAACCTAGCAAGCTTGAACGCTGCTCTAAATGTACAATCTGAACTTTTTTTGTTTTATAATACCACTTATAATGTATTTCATCATATTTGTTGAACAGAAAACAAAAAAAGGACTACAGTCCATTATTTATAGAGAATATGTCATAGTGACAGAAGACGGAGTATGAGGTATCTGACCTAGTAAATGATTTATAATGACAGCAAGAATTTAGTTAAACATTCAGATACATTCTGCAGCGGTGTAGATATTTCTGGTTTACCTGTCCAGGTGTCAGTGCTCTTATTGGCTCTTTCAACATAACCCACACTGACCCATCTAGATTCAAGGTTACAGTGCATGGAGCTGAAAAGAAATGAGATGTTGATATTAGGACTGTTTACATCAGAACAATTTTGTAGACTTGTAGTCTTGTTATTGTTAACTAAACCTGAAAATAAAACTATTAAATTATTATTAAATAAAACTATTCAAAATGATTTCTCTTAAAATATTACAAAATAAATGTTATGCTTAAAACATGAATATTTTGACAACTAAATGAAATCAAGTAAGTTTAAGTACTAAAACTATTCAAACTGAAATTTTAAAAAAATTATAAAATTGAACTAAAATTAAAAAGAAAATAGAAAAATAAAAGCTTATTCAAATTTGTTATAAAATATTATAATATATATATAAATAATTCTGAAATAACACTGTTGTAGGCAAAACAGAAAAAATATTGGCTGCAGGTTATTACTTATGCAACTTTGTCAACTGACCTGTTTTCTAACAATTTCCAGTTAAAATGGAAAGCAGCTCACTTAAAGGCATCCGGTTATTGAAACAGAAGTGACATTCCATCATCTGAGTGCGGATAAGTTCAACGGGTGGCTCTACGGGTATCCAGTGGAAGCGGTCTGTCTGTAATGTGTCTCGGAACAGTGCTGGATGGTTAGTGGTTGGACCCTGCAAGAGATGCCATATTTTACAAATCAATCTAACTGAAAAGTCATTTGTGGCCTTTTTTAATAAATAATGTAACTCACTACAAATACATCACCGGTTGTGATATCTTTATCAACTACAAACCAAGGATCTACCTGCCCTCCTATTCCAGCCCTCTGACCCAGTGTTAATGTGAACCATCCTGTGGCGAAATACAGTAATAATGTGTGTATTAGTCATACAGTATCACAGACACTATGGAGGAGAACATGAACAATTATTAAATTAATATCCACCTTTATGCTGCCCCATGATCTTCCCATCAAAATACAGTACAAAGTCTTTCAACAAACTATCTGCGAAAGGAGGTTTTTAACTTGCAGGAAATGTTGATTGTATGATGTTTGCCATTTCTGCAACCCTGTTACCAAAATGTGGGCTATATGTTTGAATAAAGTTGATATATCTGAATATTGAGTTTTCTAGCAATAAATATTAAATACAAATAAATGTTAAATAAAATTAATTTCAAAATATTTTAAAAATATAAATAAAATGTCAGAATAGGTAACAGGGTTGCAAATATAGGTAGGGATAGATAGTTTAGGGACAAATGTTGGTTTGTTATTGCTGAACTAATATTTCATAAAAATTTAAGGGAAAAAAGTGGGGTTTTTTTCTTACAATAACCTTGGTAACAGGGTTGAGGTTTTGATAAATACTGTTAAGCCTGATAAATCCAGTCAACAATAAAATTTGTGTGACACTTAAAAAACGTATAATAATAATAAAAATGTATCTAACATAAAAAAGTTTTCACTAGAAAGAATATGAGACTTGTGTTTTATTGCTTTAAACAATACAAGAGGCATCAAACATACCTCAAGGATAAAGTTCTCAAAATCTCTCTCTCCACTGAAACAGATCCCCATGCTCTTTCAGAGAAAAGAAAAAAAAAATCTCTCTCTCTCTATATATATATATATATCAATCGCATTTCCATTATATTTAGTCATTGGGCAGACATTTTTTTTAATCAGTGGAATATATTACATTTAAATTACTGAGCACTACTCAATGTCACATTTCTCGTGCCGGAAATCTTAGATCTTCAAAAGTGTGATTTATTTAATTTAGTACCTCTTTTTTCTTTAGAACATGCTGGAAGTCAGCCTCAGCAGCTATTTTCT